GACTGGTGACTAGGGAGGGAAGAGAGGACATCATGGATATGGGCAGATAGGTGGAATCAGAAAGTTGTGGGATTCTGGTAGCTATGTCAACATTGGCGCAGGCCACTTGTACCCCCGCTGTGATCTGAAACACAGGCAGTGATGCCCCAGCCACTGGCTGCCGTGGTCCATACATGTGTGGCCATCAGATGACCTTCAGGCACTTGGCCAGGTGCCCTGTTTTGCAGTGTGTTGGCTTTGGTGAGCCTATGGAGACAACCCTATTTCCTGCTTCCACCCCCAGCAGGCTGGTCTGTGGCTCTACTGGGCAATCTCTTCGATTGGCAAGCCTGATCCTTGCCTTTTGAGGTCTGATAGGAAACCAAAAGAAACCTCAGAATTTCTTTCAGTCTAAACTTGGGGAGACCTGGGTGGAACTCTGTACATTCTTGTCCTCACCTCTCCTCTACAAGTCCTCTCCTGCCTGGCCACTCACCTCGGGTGGCACCAGAGCTGATTCTGCAACTGAATAGTTCTCAGGGAGGCAGTGGCTGGCACACCTCCACCACACGTAGAAAGGGGAAGAGACCACCACATCACTTTTAGTCTCCCCAGCACTCTCCTTTAAAACTTCCCTTCTGCCTCCTGCTGTCTTCATAAAGTCCACCAAGTCTAGGCTGCATCTGAGTGAGGGAAGGGGAGTGTCTATCATTTGGGATGGAGTCTTCTGTTGAACTCAGTGCTGAAGAAAATACTTTCCTTTATCCTCAACTGTGAGCTGTTTCTACAAAACCCAGCACTTCCACCTACTCTCAGACTGAGGGCATTGCCCTTTAAAATGAGGACATAAAATCATCTTGCTATATATGATATGCATTTTGGGGGGTGCTACCCATTTATGATATCCATAATTTCCTTATCAATTGTTTTTATTTGTCTCCAGTATTCAAGAGTGAAGCCCATAGTGACACCACGATTTTCTCTTTCCTGTTCTGAGACTTTGATGGGTGAACTGGGCAACATTGCTAAGAACCATGATTTGCACATTCAGGTAGGTGTTTTTCCTCTGTTTTGCCTCTAACTGTACCTGCAAGATTTCCTGATACCCTAAATTGTAATCTCCAGTAATCTCCAGTTCTTCTACTGAGCTATCCTAAAGTCATAGCATAACAAGGCAGGAAGGACCCTTACAGACATCACCCAATCCAATTCCTTAACTTCATAGTTAAGAAACCTGAAGTTCCTTTTACTCTCAATGTTCTCAGTCTTCAAAGGTCGAGGACATCTTCATAAGTAATAGCAAGATCGATGACAGACCGTTTACCTGTTCTCTGTAGGATACATTCAATGCATTTTTTTCCTACTTCTCTTTTATTTTACTTTCTTGGTGTTTTATACTTTTATTTTTGGTAGAACCAGCTATTATTTAAAAAGCAAAAAGAACCTAATTTCTACCTTACAGAAATGTGTTTAAAAGCCCTTTTGTTCCAACTTTCTTAATTTAAAATCAGGAACAAAAAAGTGTATCTTACTTTGTCATTAAGTTGCAGCAATTTAGAAATAAAACACTTTTTAAAGCTTACAGCTGGGTTAAAATTGGGAGCTTCCCTTCCCCCATCTGAGCTTAATTACATACTGTACTAAAATTTCTCCTTTTAAGAGTTGACTACCTTACAAAAAAGGGCAGGTTGTGGCAAAAGCAACACATTTATTCTTCACCATTTTTTAGCGTTGTATTTTTTTTTAAAGATCTATCTTCTTAAGGCCCATTAACTATTCTCATCTGCCCTGTTATTTTTTTATGGTGTTTGGATGTTTTATTCAATCCCACACAGTTCTTTCCTGGAGATAAAATTCAAAACTCAGATGATGTTTCTACTTTGGAAACAATGCTTCTGTTCCTCAGAAAGTAAAATACAAATGACATTAAAAAATACATGCAAACATGATAGTCAACTCTGTACCTCACAAATGTGTAAAATCAATTATGTTTAAGTAAAAAAAAAATACATGGAAATGTGTCAAGAAATCAGGGATCTCAGTCCTGCAATCAAAAGGAACTGAATTTTGCCAACAACTTGAATAAACCTGAAGCAGATTCCTCCCCAGAGCCTTTAGATAAGAGCCCAGCCTGATTGACACCTTGATTTCAGCCTTGGGAGTCCCTGAACCCAGCACCCAATTGAGCAAGGCTGTGCCCAGATTTCTGATGCACAGAAGTGTAAGATAATAAATGGTTGCTGTTTAAAGCTGCTAAACTTATGGTGATATGTTACAGCAGCAAAAGAAAACTAATAGAACTCTCAAGAATCCCATTCCTTTTCCTTGTCTTGGGTAATCTCCCCTATGCAGATCCAGAAGCTTCTACTTCATCAGCTCTAAGCCCTCACAGATATTTGGGCACAATTTACCTCTAAGTGAATTGTTTATGAAAACCTAGGAGCCCTGGTTTTCACAGACAATATCTATGACAGAATTTTTGTCAATTTCTGTGATTCATAAAGCTTTAAGTTTAGGGGATGCAAAGATTTAGTTACTTTTCCATGATGAGAGGAGGAATAAAATGAACAAAACCCAAACGAATATTTCAGTAGATTTTCTGCTCATAAAAAAATACATGAAAAAATAGAATGAAAGGGACACATGACAAAATCAAGTCTAGCCTTGCTGGAGGGATGTGTATGGGGTATGTGCATTTACTCTTACTTATCAAAGACATCAATCATCTGGTTGTCCTTCTCTTCCTATGCCAATGCATTTCATTGAGGTCCTGGATTTCTTCAAGGCCAGAGAGAGAGCTCGTCATCTGGGTCGAACGCCTGATTTTAGAATATTGCTATGTTTTTCTTTTGTTTATTTGGCAATGCATATTCTACCTCATGGAGAGAGAGAAATGGCATTGCCATTCTTGGAAGTATTAATTTGCTCATGAGTTATTTCCCATAATGTATAATGATCACCGATTGGTCTGAAATGATTTTTATTTTAGGCTAGGGGTTGAGGTGGTTACTCCTAAGTGTTGTGTCTCAAGAGCACTTTCCACCCTCTCGGGTTTTCTGGTGCCCTGGAGGAAGGTCGGTGTGGGGACCTAGCATGTACTTGCTTTGCTTCCATGTAGATTCTTACAAGCTCTTTCTCGATGATTGCAGGATTGTCTAGCTCAGTTATTTTCAAACTGTTTTCTGCAGATGAACTCATTCTGGAAACCAACAAAGGGAACAGAATGGGGACAGGGTCCCAGAGTCTCAATCCTGCTTCATCCTGAGGGGCAACTTTTTTATGCCTTCTACATATTGGGTTTCTGTGAGTCTTCATATGAATAACATAACCAAAGCCCCCAAATTTGGAAAATCATTCAACTAAGCCCAAACCTTTCATGTGAGAGATGAGAATGGAAGCCCGAAGAAAAGTACTGACCTGCCCCAAGACACCTAACTATAGTCAGAACATGCGCTAAAACTCAGTTGTCTTTGCTCAGATTCCAGTGTTCTATGAGCAAATCATTCTGGATGTCTTTATGATGGCCACTGAGCTCTTTTGTTAAAAGGCCAACAACAGAAGAGGCAGGTTGCCACAAATAGCTAGGCTCTTGCTCTCTCCAAGGAGTACTTTATATTTGTTCTTGCTATAGTTTGGAATCTGAAAAGATTTTATTGGAAAAATTTGTCTTGAGATTGTACAGACACACACACACACACACACACACACACACACACACACACATACACATACACACATACTACATGTTCATCGTATTCAGTTTTTTGTCATATATATAATACCTATGATGTACATAAATGTTT